TGTTCTACATTTCGCGTCCTTCCTACATTCCCCAGTATCGACAGACCTCGTTACGGACACCTATACCAATGCCCCTTTACTCAGAAGTCCAAAAAAATCCACATTGCTCAAATCTTCTTTGCCCTTTTCTGATCCCTTCTTCCACTCTCACTTTACCTTTCCAGTTCTTCTGACTTAGTTCTTTCCCCTATCTCTGGCTCTTATTACAAGTGTGGAGATTACCCTCCCTCCTAGTACTATGCCCTCCACCCCCGTTCCCCTCCCAAGTTTCTCCTCTTCTTGCCACCTCCCAGGGTTTCTGCCTTTCTGTCCCCCCACACTTCATCTCCAGTCCCTTACCACTTTCCTCAACCTATCTACTTGGTTAAAGTCCATTACTGTCCCAAATCTTTACTCACCCTCCGCCTTCTATCTCCAATTGGTCTCCCATACATCTTTGGTATGATCGCCGTGATGCCCATTGCCTTCGCTACTATGATACGACTCTCACGATCTACACAAGCCTTCCTTTTATTGAATGGTCACCGATTATTAGTGAACAGTTCTTTTTCGTTCGCGCCCCTGTTTGCTCCGTCCCTTTTCTCTTCGCCTTATTACTCTTGTCTTCCCTTCAGTTACCCTTGTATGCTCATGTAGCATTCTCACTTTTCCCTACCCCTGGGAAGTTCCAGCTGTTGGGTCTGTTCTTTTCACCCCTTGCTCGAAGCTCAACTGCTACCGTGGCTTCCCGCTCTCTTTTTCTTGATTTCACTTCCACTTCCCTTCTCACGCCACTGCTGTGTACACAGAGGCTCTAAGTCTTTCAGTCGGCGTCGGAATTCGCAGCAGTGTTTCAGGACAGCGTCGTGCGGGGGCATTATTTACTATCTTCAGCTAAGGCATTTTACTGCTGAACTGTATGCCATTCTTGCAGCACTATTCGTATCGGCATCTATGCCTGTGTCATCATTTGTAGTAAGTCTCAGACTCCCTCAGTGCCTATAGGCTATACGAAAATTTGATTTACATCTCATCCCTAGTTCTCCGTATCCAACTTTGGCTATGCCGTATCTCTACCAAACATAAAGATATTGTTTTTTGTTGGGTCACTGGTCATGTCGACGTACAGGGCATATGACAGGCAGACACTGCTGCGCGGTCAGCAGTACATGACCTACCAATTTCTATCGAGGTCCTCGGGTTCCATTTCTGGGACTATTTGTTGCAAAGAGCTACCCACCTTGCACGTTGGCAACACGTTGGTCAAACTCTGCTCGGTAAACAAACTTATTCTATTAAACCGATCATAGGTACTGGCCGTCGTCTTGTCATCAGTGCGAGGTGGGAGACCACTCTTCTCCCGCATTCCCACTATTATCCCATATTGCTCTTAGCTTCATTCTTGAGGGAAGAATGCTACCCTTTTTTTTATCCTATATGCTCTTCAATATTGAAAGGGAAACGCTCCTTGTTTAATTCTATTTGCTCTTAAATTTACTAACAATAAGGGAAACAACTGTGTCATGCATAACTCTTAATTTCACAAGAAAATGCAACACCATTAATAACATTTGCACTAAACTTCATTTAAAATTCATAAGATGCACACCAATCATCCTATATTCTAACCTCACCATGTGAAGGGCAACATAACCACCATTGCATATACAGTGGAACTCTACTTGCAAGATGCATCCACATCGTGGTTTTTCCAATTACGGGACAGTTGAGGGTCGATTTTTTTTGCTTCATCGCGATGCGGGAATTTCCATAAGTGAGGATCTCAAGGGATGGTTCCTTGACAATGGTGATTGGCTCTTGCTCATGATTAGGGAATTGTATCTCATTTGTTTGTTGGACTATCTTAATAAAACATGGGCAATGTATGATGGAAAGATGCTTATTAATGTACAGCAAAATGAAAAGAAATCGGAGCATAACTAGATGGAGTTCACTTTCTCAGCATCAGCCACCCCTTAGCGGTATTTTCGTATAAGCTTTTATGAGTTGGATTCTCGTTTTCTTGGTCTCATTGTAGAATGGAAGATATATTACAGACATAGCTATGAGTTTGATTGCTTTCATGATGGAAAACTACCTAGAATTGAGCGTCAAAGTAGCGGGAAACTTTCATTTCTTAGGCTATGTCAAGAACAAACAAAATGACATCACTGTCCATTCCAATATGCAGTCCTGATGGGTTGACTTATTTATACAATTAATACAATTAATGCCGTAGCTGCATATGCAGTAAATCTGCTATTTTTTTGTGTGAATAAAAATTACCAAAATTTTTATATAATTATAATATTACATATAATATAGTTATAATATAATATAAAACAATTAATAATAATAATTACAGTAATATGTATAATAATAATAATATTAAATATATAATAATAGTGTACTATAGAATAATAATTATAATTGACGCTTCAAGACGGCCGTTAGCTAGATGGCAGTGTTTACCACAACAAGAGGGGAGCGGTTGTGGCTGCCTCCACCTGTTACATAATGACATATTTTATTCATTCTAGAGTATATATCAGGTTTTATGTTATTATATTGTTTGTTATGTCTATTAGATGAACTGTGATAGATAAATAAGCTGTATAGATGATATTAGTTGAAACTTATTCAAGAAGTATTGTGTCGGTCTCCAGACAAACTAGTCCACACAGAACCGCACTTACCACTACATGAATAACAGATTTTATTCATTTTAGAGTATATTATACAGGTTTCTACATTATTTATATTGTTTATAATGTCATATTAGATAAAATTTTGATAGATAAATAAGCCATGGAGTTTAATTAGGGAAATTATGAAGTACAGAAATTCACTGGGAACAGATTAATTGAATTTCAATTAATTTAAATGAGGAAAATTGACTCTGCTAATGAGCATATCAGTTGCGATGCACTAGGTCCGGAATGGATTAATTGCAAGTTGTCATCATGTTCTTTACTTACACTTATACCCCAGGAAAATAACTGTTCATAAATTAAACTAACTCACGAGGATATGCTGTGGCATGCAAAGAGTAGTAACCTTTCTTCAGCGCATGACACACCCTAACTTATAGGCTATCTCCCCCAACAGTGAACCAGGTTGCTGAGAAGTTGATGATGGGGGCCCGTTCGTTCAATTGGAAACCAGGGTTCCAGCCCATACAGTAGATGGTTTTGGCATCGCAGAGAGGTTATGTTGGGTACCATCTCTCTGGCTGCCCTTGCCATTCCCTTTCTAGAGCTGGTTGACGCCGGTCTGTTGCTCTCTTGTGGCTTCTATTTTCTGCTTGCTTACCGTGGAGTGCACTGATTACTTATTCAATGTTTCATAGTGTACATATTGCTGTTCTAATATGGTGAATGTTAATATAAGTCTAACTTTTTTGCTGTTGTTTATTTTGCTCCTTTACACCCAGGATTTTTTTTATTTATTATTTCATTTAATTAACAATTTGAGCATAAACAGGCCATTTGGATTCCTGGGTTGTATTGTAATATGGGGGCCTGTCCGGGATCTGGAGCAGGACTTAGAGAAAGGTTGAGCCTTGGGTGAAGCTGGGTAGCAGGAAACATTGTGCAGCTGCTGTCTGGCATTGCATTAGCTTTGCAACGCTTTACAAATTTGCGTTGTCAGTTACTTTGTTATGGTAAGCATTTGCTATTGTGTGTGATGCGTTCAAACAGTCGCTACTAGCTTGTTCGGTGGGATCCAGTGCTCGCTTTGCTTACGGTCAAATCTTGTAGAAACAGTTGTGTAGCTGTCTCTGGCATTGCGTTACAAATTTGCGTGCAGTTGCAGTCAACTTTGCTATTGGTATCCAACTTGTATGCGTATTCGAATTGTACTGGACATAGCTAAGCGTGTGTTCTGCATATTAAACGTGTTACGTTGGGGGTATTCTTCAATCGTATGTGGCATAGCTAAGCATGTTTGCAAATAACATTACATTGGGCTATTCTGCAATGTTCTGTGCATAGCGAATACTTTAT